TGATGCTAATTATTACTAACCACACAGTGTAGTAAATGTATTTGTGTATACACCTTCAAAGATGTAAAGCTGAAAAAGATCTTATACCAATATATATTTTTTTTGCAGTGGCAAAACTTTTTATAATAATGTAGTTGTGCTATAATAGTATATGGCTGATAATAGCTAAGTTATATCTCCAAACTTTTAAAACTCTTTATGAGTTCCTTAAGTATGTTACAGGTTCCAAAATATAAAGAACTTTCAGGTCAATTTTTAGATAGAAGTTCATCTGCTGTGTACAACTCCTTTCTCCTACCTTCCTGATCTGTTGGTAGAAATTAAAGTAGCTGTGTTGCACTAATACAGACACTTACTATGACTATGAATGACAGGTATCTGCATGACTGACAAAGACGCCCAGACTGTCAGGAAGAAAGTAAGACAGGCTGTGACTTAACCTCATTTTTGGGTGGGCTGCGTAAGCAGTGTGATCCCAAAGATAAGGTGGGTATGGGCACGTCGGGGGCCTATACAGGATCCTCTCTTTTCTCTCTTTTCTTTCTGTCTTTCTCTCTCTCCAAAAGTATGTAATAGAGATCTTAAAGACATACAGTACATTTTAAATGACTGTGCGCAACTCAGTGTTGGTCCCCAAAATGACATCAATAGGTTTTATTGTATAAACTTGGGGCCAACTTAAGATAAACGATTTTAAAAGACTGATTTTTCTCCAAATGTAAGTTAAAAAATATAAAGACATGGTCCTAAACTTGGCTTTCTGTTTAAAAACATAGCAAACAAATATTCCATCTAACAACCTACAACTCTTTTCTGTGAGAAGATATTCTATATTATAATAAAAATTTAAATATACTTTTAGACATAAAAAGTTGCAATGTTCTAAGATAACAGTATCAATAGAATTTTATGCCAAAATTTGTTTGCTCCTTATTTCAAATTTTCCCTATAAAGCTTTATAACTGTTACCTGATAATATTCTATAAAAGTTTGACTTCTAAAACAATCATAGTTAAAAATGTAACAGTTCCATGGTCATATTTTATATTTCAAAGTAATTGTTATCCAGATAATGATAGTTAAACCTACTGTTCCCACTTCACTACTGGTGTAACTGACTTTCTGGTGTTTAACAACTGAGACTTAGAGATAACGCTAAAGAAAAAATAACTGGGCTAAGATAAAAGGCAATATTTTGATCCGGGTCATACAAAGTCAGCAAGGATCCTAGACATGAGAATATCTCTCTGGAAGATGGTACAACTCTGGGGAGCCAACCAACTAGCTGAATAAGGAGATCATTGGTTCCCAGAGGTGAGGAGTCAACCATTGTACATTGTACAGGGAATAAATGTGCCCCATACTGCTACAGGAAACACATAGTCAAGCAGCACCACGACTCATCTTGGCAGATGGCATTGACAGAAGAGCTAAGAGACCGAACATGGTCTCCAAAGTACCCTGAGGAATCTCACTCATCCTTAATGTATATAGCAGGAAATTCATTTTGATTAACATAGGTCTCATTTTAATTTGGTTTAAAACAATCAACAGAAAAGTATCAACACAAGATACATAAAATAAAATAGTAACTTAGGTTAGGTACACAAGAGGGTGCAGTTACTACACTGGCCCTTGTTTGCCAGCCTCCAGCTATACCTGTAATTTGCCACTATTATGTTTCAGTGAGACTAAACAACCATAGTGATAGCTATACAAGCTCAACATTAAATCACACAAATAGGTCTCTCCCACTACAAAATCACAAAAAGTATTGTACAAATCTCAAACTCCATACACTGGACAAATGGCTCCCAAACAAAAAGCTATTTATGCCCAGCTCATATACATAGGAAGTCAAGACCACTTCTTAAATCTAGATGAGGGAAAGCTGACTCTTTTACCTGTAAATATAGCAGACACAGTCAAAGCAGCTGTCAGTTCCCTTTCAGGCCCTCCCAGGCCAGCCTGGGTCCAGTTGCTTCAGCCATGGACTACCCTCAGGACAAGAACCCAGAGACAGGAAGCTGATTATACCAGCCTCTGACTTTTCCCAACAGGAAGTTGCCTCTCAACAGGGAAGCTTCTTTTATCTGAAAAAACATCTGATCAGTACAAAACTTTCTGTAACATTCTTTCTTCTGTATAATCAAATGTGGCAGCTCTCTAGAGCAACTGAAGGTAAGTGTAAAAGAACTTTGGCCTTTCTCTTTGCTTAAGAAATTCAGCCACATTTGATCTGGAAGATTATTTTCTCTCTTCAAGTAACAGGTTAATGACCAAGGAGCTTTAATAGTGCCACACAGTGGCTGTTTCTACTCCCATTGTATAGATGGATAAGACTCAATTTAAAGTTAGACTTTAAGTTAAACTGTGTATTTCAGGAACTCCACAGCTAGCATTTCGATTGTACATATTTGACTCATTAAACTATACTTTTTCTTCTAAGAGGATTTTTTTGGGTATAGGGGACTTTAGTATTCATTGCTTTAGTTTTTTTTTTTTTTCTACATTACATAATAATTGCTCCCTTACAGTGACAATCTTTGCCGTCTCTCATATTTCTGAATCATAAAAGGATTAAGGGAAAAGTAGGTTATTTGTTATGCATTTACCCAGCCTTGTGAAACTCATACAGAGAACACTTACTTAGTGGAGTTAAAGAAGTTAAATCTTTGGTGATCTCTTGTTTTCTAACCCAGCGGAGGCTATCCACCTATCCTGAGCAGGTGGAAGGGTGAGTACACAGGGGAAGAGATGGAACTGGAGCCCAAAGAGAAGATGTGTCTCTCTGTTCATGTTGTTTGAAAGCAGTAAGACTAACTAGATCAGCAGTCCTGACTTTGTGGTCGAGTTATAAATATTCCTGGGGATAGTATCATAGGATCAGCAGTCAATAAATATTTTCTAAATTTCCTGAAAGAAAAACATTCTTAATAAACACAACTTGGGTGGTCTTATTGCTACTGCTTAATTCATTATATAGCACATGTGGTGGCCATAAATCATCATTTATTAGCATTAGTTACTTAGAAAAGATAGATTTGATTTTTAAAGATAGTTACTAACATGTACAATATATTTAAACTATAAGAAGTGGTTTATATCATTCAAAATCAGTGAATTTCACCAAAAAGTATATGATTAGTGAGCTAAAGCTTTAAAGTAACACTTTCAAGTTAATACAATAAAAAGAAAATCATACCACCCCTGTTAGCTATATGAAGTACTTGCAGAAGACTAATGATCCCAACCAAGATGACTAGGAAGCCCAGAAAAAATACAAATAAAACAAAACAAATTAATTGACAATTTTGTATTCTCACCAGCATTCTTGTTATCAATCATTTTGATTTTATCATTGTAATAGATGTTTAGTGCTATTTCACTGTTGTTTTAATTTGCATTTCACTGATAACGTACTTTTGAGCAACATTTTATATGTTTGTCATTTGTATTTTGTTTCAGATGAGGTATGTTTGCTCCATTTTTTATTGCAGCTATGGTTCTTTATTGTTGAGCTTTAAGTGTTCTTTGTAGATTTTTGAACACAAATCTTTTAATGGTTATGTGTTTGGTGAATGTTTTCACCTATCAGGAAATTTATCCTTGCATTTTTTTGATACTGTCTTACACATACTCAAAGTTTTAAATTTTAATAAGTTTAAACAAGTAGTCTACTATTACCTACCATTTTTATTTCCTAGGTTTCAGTTACCCAAAGTCACTTGGATCTGAAAATATTAAATTGAAAATTCCAGAAATAAACAATATATAAGCTTTAAATTGTGTAACATTCTTAGTAGTATGAGGAATTTCTGCCACTTCCCACTCTCATTTACCTGAGATTACCTCCACAATCTATTGCCTATTCACCATTAGTCTCTGAGTAGACATTTTGGTGATCAGCTAGACTGTTTCCTTATTTTACCTAGCAATGGCCCCAAAAGAGTAGTGGTACAGGGAAGGGGTCAGGGTGTAAAACATGAAAGAGCAGATTAACGCTGTTCCTACGTGGGACAGCAGGCATATGTACGCCCTGGTGCTACCTGTGGTCTCAGGGGTTGACTTGGGGTCTCAGATTGTCACCCCTGCAGATGAGGTGGGGGCTACACTATCAATTTCTTTCATGGGTTGTACTTAAGTCACAGTGTCTAAAAACATAACAGAACTCGAGGATGCCTTGATTTTCTCCTACTTTCTTTTAGAAATTTTTTGTTGTGTATTCTACTTTTAGGTCTACCATTGATTTTGAGTAAAATTTTGAAATATAAGGAGTCTATATCTAAATTTTGGGCATGGGAATATGCAATTTTCCAATGTTATTTGTTGAAAAGAATATCCTTTCTGTACTAGATCATCTTTCCTCCTCGGCCAAAGATTAGTTGGCTCTTCTCATGTGAGTCTGTCTCTCAACTCCATTCTATTGAATTGACCTACTTTTGTACTCTTTTACCACATGGTTTTGATTGGTGTAGATGTTCAAGAGGTTTTGAAGTTAGGTGGTATCAATTCTCCACTTTGTTCTTCATTATTGTGCTGACTAATTTGGGTCTTTTGCTTCTCTAAAGAAATTTTAGAATCAGCTTGTTGTTAGTCACCAAATAGCCTGATTGAATTTTGTATGGGATTTTATTGAATCTGTATGATACAGTAGAAAAAAATTGATATCACAATATTGAGTCTTCCTTTCCATGGACATGGTATAATTTTTCATTTATTTAGATTTTCTTTGATTTCTTGTACTAGTTTAAAGTGGCTATCTTTCTATAGATTCTGTACATATTATGATTTGTACTTATACATTTCATTTTAAGCATAAATAATAATACAAATGGTATATTTTTAAAGTTTGAATTCCCATTGTTCATTGCTGGTGTATAGGAAATGCAATTGACTTTTGTGTTTCAACATGTAGTCGTTAATACTTCTATAATTGCATTTTGATTCCAGAATGTGGTTCTTTGTTTCATTTTAAAAAGTTATTTAAAGTCTTCTACATACTTATCTGGCAGGGGAGACACCATGATCACAAAAGTGGCTTCCCTAGGGTGAGGCTTGTCCATTGCACAGCAGATGAGCTGACCTGTGTGATTTCCCCAAATGTGGGAAACTCGACTGCATGATTTATGGTAGTGTGGGACTGCATTCGTGCTTTCCATTGACTATAAATACATAAAAAAAACCTATAAAAATTATGTCATTTGAGGGCAAAAATGTTTTTTTCTTCTCAAATCATGTGTTCTTAAATTTCCTTATTACTTATTACCTCAACTAGGACTGTCTTATTGTGCTGAATAAGAGTGGTGAGAGAGATCCTTGCCTTCTTGATCTGGAGGGAAAAGCACCTGTTTTCTCACAAGTAAGTATAATATCCTCTGTAGGATTTTTGTAGTTGTTTTTATCATGTTGAAGAGGTTTTCTTCTATTCCTAATTTGATGACAGTTTTTACCATGAAGGTACTGGATTTCATCAAATGCTTTTTCTTCTCTGATATGATCATATGATTTTTCTTGTTTTGCTTGTTGATATTATGAGTTACATTAGCTGATTTTCAATTGTTGAACACCTAGAATAAATCCTATTAGTCACATGATTGTTTTTACATGCCATTAAATTTAATCTGCTTGTATTTCATTGAGAATTTTTATTTTTATGCTAGTTGAAATATTGCTCATTTTTCTTTTTGGAGGATGTCTATTTGATGTAGGTTTAATTAAGATTATCTTGATTTTCATGAGATGCAGTAGGAAATACTCTGCTTCTATTTCTGCAGAGAAGTATAGATAATTAGAATTTTTTTATTAAGTGGTAGAATTCACCAAAGAAGCCATCTGAACCTGGTACCTTGTTATGAATGATTTTGAAAATTATTGATTATTGAATCATTTTCTTCAATAAATATAAGCCTATTTAGGTGATCATTTTTGAGTTATGGTTATTTGCATCTTTCAAAAAATCTAAGTTGTCAAAAAATCTAAGTGGATAGTCATCTAAGTTGTCGTCTTTGTGGGCATATTAGTATTTGTAATAAACTTTTGTTATCCTTCTTAATGTCTATGAGATTAAGAGTGATGCCTACTTTTCATTCCTGATATTTGTTAATTTGTGACTTCTCTCATTTTCTTGCTTACTCTTGCTTGGTCCAGCACGCTGTATATGTTAATTAGGTCAAACTGATTGATTATGATGTTTACACTTTCCATATTCTTTCCTGGCACTTCATGTTGATCTTTTCATTACACAGAGAGAGACAATAAAGTCTCGACCATAATTACATTTAGATTTTTTCTTTACTTCTTCACTTATTGCTTCATTATTTTCATTTTTAATTAACATATATATTACCACAGTATCATAAAAGCATATCTGATAATCGATAAGCCATAGCTGATAAACCATGTCTGATATCTCAAATATCTGCAGAACACTTAGAATTCAGTAAAAACAGAAAAAAGCAATTTGCTCAAAAGTGGGTAAAAGTTGTGATGAAATATTTTATGAAAAAGAATATATAAGTACAAAAGGATGCATGAAAAGATGTGCAACATCTTTAGTCATAGCAACATGCAAATTAAAACCAAAATGAGATTTTAAAACACCCCTATCAAAATATCTAAAATGGAAAAGTGATGCCAGGTAGTGGTGAGGATACAGGCAAAGTTGGTTACTTAAATTTCTGGTGGAAATGTAAAGTGCTTAGTCACCCTGGAATAGAATGTGACAGTTTCTTATAAATAAACATGTAATGAGCATATGAATCCACTATTGTACTCCTTGACATGTAGTCCACGGGGAGAAAAACCTCACATTTACATAAAAATCTGTATGGAAGCATTAATAATAGGCTTATTTGTACTAGGCCAGCAGGAATCAGTCCTGGAGATGAATGGCTAAATAAACTCTTGTACATAATACCATGGATGGATGGAGTGCTATTCTGCAGTACAAGCACTAGCTATTAATACACACACAACTTGGGTGAATCTCCAGGGACTTACATTGAGTTGAAAAAGTCAATCTCTAACAGCTACATACTGTATAATCCTATTTATATAAATTCCTGTACATGCCAAAATGTTAGAAATAGATGACAGATTGCCAAAGGTTATGTGTGAGTAGGTGGGAGTTGGAAGAAGTTATGTAGGTACAGTTATAAAGGCACAGGTAGAGGCTGCTGGTGATGTTGGACCTGCTGAATACCTTGACAGCGGCGGTAGATAGAAGAACCACACTGGGTTTATCTATGAGGGGGTCCGAGTAAGACAGGGATATCACAGTTAAAACATTATGCTATAATTTTGCAAGATGTATATCATTAGGATAAACGTGGCAAAATGGATAAAGTATTTCTGAGTACTGTTCCTCAAAACTGAGTATGAATCTGTAATTATCTCAATAAATTTCAGTTAAAAGGAGGGTTAATCAAAATATTATTTAAATATAAAAATAATTATCTTAAATAATTATTATCTTATCAATAATTATCAAAATAATTATCTTAATAATTATTATCTTAAAAAACACAATTGAACTATATTACCTGTTACTTTTTTATTGAATTTTTACCTATTTCTTTTTTTAAGAGATAAGATTCAGAAATGGGAGCTAAAATTAACAAACAAGGAGAAAAAAATAAGACTATCTAATTTATTTTACTAAAGTAAGTGAAATACTTTGTTTTGTGGAATGTTTGTCTATTAGTGCTCCCATAGTTACTCAAACATAGGTTTAGTGTGCTCCTTAAATACCTAAGATAAACACTTGTAAATTAGTCTGTCATTAGTGATGCCTGTTTCCCAATGAATATGGAATGAAACAGCTACCATCTTGACAGGAAAATAAAATTAAAAACAAATAAGAACCTAAGCTTTACACTGTAAACTATGAATGATTACAAAATACAAATTCATTAAAGGTGAAAATCTGAAGTCTACATGTTGAAATCTTAATCCTTAGTAATTTAGAATGTGACTTTATTTGGAATAACATCTTTTCAGACATAGTTAATTAAGATAAAATGAAGTCAAACTGGAGCAGGATGGATACTTAATCCAAAGTGATTTGTGTCCTTCTAAAAGTGGGAAATTTAGACACAGACATACATGGATGCAGAACACAATGTGAAGGAAGCAGAGAGTGGGTTGACCCTTCCGTTATCTAAAAATCACCCAAGATGCTAACAAACACAAGGAGTCAGCAATAGAACAGATTATTCCTCCCAAGCCTTGGGAGGCACTAATAGTACTAATTTTTTTTAAATGTGGTCATAGATTATTAGAAATATGATAATGGTAATAATGTAGGAGAAAAATTATCAAAATCTACTTATGCAATATTCAGAACAAATTCACTGCTTTATGTTTTTTATTATTCTTCTGAAAAAATAAGATCAATAGAACAACCAATATTTTGTTTCAAATACTTAGAAAAAATAACCTTCAACAAATAAAATAGATAATGAGAGAATTAAAGCCAATACACTGGAAAATGTTATGAAAGTAGAAGTGAATTTAGGGCCCAGGATTTGGAAATGAGCTGTGAAGAATGAAAAAGTGCGGCATCTGCCTCCCCGTGTGATTGGAGGATTGTGGAGTTCTAAGCAAGCAGGCAGGCATCCACTTTCCCCCGAGTCCAGCTTGTTTAGGACCCTCGTGCCTTCCGGGTGCACTGGAATAGCTAGGTAGGTCTGGGGCACCAGCATCTACCTCCCCGATCCCGGCAAGGGCCACTGGTTCCAGAGGCCCAGCATCCTGGGGTAAGTGCCCCATGCACTTTACCTTGAGTCCAACTTGTTTGGGACCCTTGTGCGTTCTGGGTGCACTGGAACAGCTAGGCAGGTCTGGGATGCCTGCAGTCACCTCCCTGTTCCAGCTGTGCTTGGAGGACTGTGGAGTTCTAAGCAAGCGAGTGCCACTGATTCCAGAGGCCTGTTGGGCTGGGGGAACTGTGTGTCAGAGCCCCAGGAGTTGAGGGCATAGAAGAATATTTCCAACAGACCCTGAGGAAGCCTTAAAATAACACTTGAAACACAGAAATATAGGAAAATGACAAAACAAAAGACCAAATTATAATCTCAAACCTCCAGTCCATCCATAGAAGCCTTAGGAGCAATGTATATAGAAGAAAACATATGCCATATACCTCAAATATTGGACATAATGGCAACTGAAATAAACAAGCAACTCCGGGAAGCTTTAAAGTAATTAAAACTAGAAATAATCTCTGAGGTAAAAGAAGAAATGATGAAAGAAATGAAAGAGATGCTGAACACATCTAAAGAAAACACAGTTCAAAAATTAGAGGAACTAAACAAAAAGATAGAATCCCTACATGAGCAATATAAGAAACAAACAATACATAAAGCAGATGCACAGAGATATACAGGAAATCGAAAATTCCACTGAGAGCTGTAAAAACAGCCTCAATGAAAGTGAAGATAGAATTTCAGACCTTGAAGACAAGATTGCAACAAGTGAACAGGAAAAGAAAGATCTTTTAAAAATAACAAAGAATCAGGAAATAACAATTCAACAACTGCAAGATGACACAAAGAAAAACAATCTAAGATTGATATGGATCAATGAAAAAGAAGAGGCCAACATGAAGGACATCAAAAGGATACTTAGAGAAGTAATAGCTGGAAATTCCCCAAACATGAGATCAGAAACCGACATCAGGACCAGTGAAGCATATAGAACTCCAAATAGTCATAACCAAAATAAAACTACACCCAGACATATAATAATCACAATCCCAGATATCCAACACAAGAATAGATTATTAAAAGCTGTCAGAGAGAAAAGACAGATCACTTATAAAGGAAAATGCATCAAAATGACAGCAGACTTCTCAGCAAAACAATAAAGTCAAGAAGAGCATGGAGTGAAGTATTCCAGATCGTAAAGGAAAATGATTTCCAACCTAGACTCATGTACCCTGAAAAACTGTCCTTCAAAATCAATGGTGAAATAAGATACTTCCACGACAAAGAACAGCTGAAGAACTTCATGATCGCCAAGCCAACCCTGCAAAAAATATTGAAAGACTGTTTAGATACACTTAGGAAAAAATCACTAAGCAAAGGAGATAATTAACAGAGCAGAAAGATAAAGATGCAACAGCAGAAAGATAGCATGTCAACAATAAACCAACATATAAC